AAGAATCAAAGGCCTTGCTCATATCAAGGGAGACCGTCAACGCCCCTATCAGCTGTTGTCGATGCACACCTTTAAAGCGCTGCTGCAAGGTGATGCGTTGTTGAGCTACGGCCTCCCGAGCTTGATGCAGATGTTGAAAAGCACGCATAAGGGCCTGGGACACCCCACGCCGAGCCAGATAGGCAACTAAACCCTAAACCCTGCTACTACCCTAAACCCTAAACCCCAAACCCTATACTACTACCCTTATCCCTAAACCCAAAGCTCTTAACCCTAAACCCTACTACCACAACTACTGCCCCAAACCTTAGCCCGAAGCCCAAAACCCTTCTACTACCCTAAACCTTAGCCCAAAGCCCTGAACCCTAAACCCTACTACTACTACTACTACTACTACTACTACTACCCTAAACCCAAAGCCTGAAGCCCTGAACCCTAAACCCCAAACTCTAAAACCCAAAACCCTAAACCCCCCAAAAAAAAAACAGACAGGCCCCAATATACTAGTTTGAAACCGAGAGGCCAGGCTCATCCGCGGCTGCCCCGAGATCTTCTCACCGTTCCGGCCGCGCAGCACCGCGCGCAGGCAGCGCGTTGCGGAAGCCTCGTGGGTTCAGAGTCTATAAGGGTTTAGGGTATATAGGGTTTGAGGGTTTAGGGTATAGGGGTTTAGGGTTTGAGGGTTTAGGGTATGGGGTTTAGGGTTTGAGGGTTTGAGGGTTTGGGTTTGAGGGTTTGGAGTTTGAGGGTTTAGGGTTTGAGGGTTTGGGGTTTGAGGGTTTGGGGGTTTGGGGTTTGAGGGTTTGGGGTTTGAGGGTTTGGGGGTTTGGGGTTTGAGGGTTTGGGGTATGAGGGTTTGGGGTTTAGGAAGACTCTGGGTGCAGGGCTTATGAGGGTTTACGGTTTTCGGGCGTTTTGGGGTTTAGGGTTAAGGGTTGAGAAGGGTTTAGGGCTTTAGGGCTTGAAGGTTTAAGGTCTTAGGGTTTCTAGGGTTTAAGGAGAATTTAGCACCCTTTAGATCCTGAAATCCCCAACCCGCAACAAACTCCCTTAGGGTTTGGGTTTAGGGTTTAGGGTTTAGGGTTTAGGGTTTAGGGTTTAAGGTTTAGGGCTATGTCCCTAAACCCCAAAGTCCGGTTCAGAATCTGACGTGCTGCATAAGTGTAGGGATCTGCCCCGCTTCGGTAAGAAGGGACTACGAGTTCGGATGGGATTGAAGAAGGATTCCAACGGTCCAAAGCTGAAAGCCCAATCTAGGGGCCCTAAGAAGTAGAATGGGGTTTGGGGGTAGATATACTGTAATTATAATAAGGAGCCCCCCCTCCCCCCAAATTATCTAGCCCCTGTATTAAGGGCGAAGGTATGTTCTCAGACCACTTTCTGAATTTCTGAAGCTGTGGGCGTAGGAGACTGAAACCTCTCCAGTACCGAAGCGCCGGCTCGGCACTTTGACTACGGCTACTGGTGATAGGGTTTAGGGTTTAGGGTTTAGTGGTTTAGGGTTTAGGGTTTGGGGTTTAGGGAAACCCCCTGTAGGTGAAAGAATGCGCCCAACATCTGTGAAGGCAACTTCTCTACATACTTTTGGGGTCCAGGTAAGTCGTCTGATCTGATGTGAGAGGCTATAATCGTTGAAGCGTCTGCGATTGTGTTCATTAGGGTTCAAAGCGGCGTCCCAAAACCTAAGCGATGAGGCTGTGGGTTTAGAGTTGCCTTTGGAGGACGTAAAGACTATCAGGACTCAAAATGTAGGGTTGGCGTAGGGACCCCTACCCTGCAAGGGCTGAACTTGATCTTAAACCCCTAAGTTGTTCATGGTTTTGGCTGCCTCTATAACCCTAAACCCTAAACCCTAAACCCTAAACCCTAAACCCTAAACCCTAAACCCTAAACCTAATTAGCTCTCTTCAACAACCAGGTAACCAGGCCCCAAAAACTTAGCAAAGACCGGACATCGAAACTCAGAAATCATCAAGCTCTCAATGTCTGCGAGGGCTTTTGCTTAGGGTTCAGGGGTTTAGGGTTCAGGGTTGAGTAGCTTTGAAGCCCGGTCTGCAGAAATCTTACGCCGGCTTTTCCTCGCCTCATCCTTGCCTGCTCCCGTCTCCAAGAAGGGGCAAACTTCCTGGGAGTTGAGTGGCACCCCCCAAACCCTAAACCCCTAAACCCCTAAACCGTAAACCCTAAACCCTAAACCCCTAAAGCCCCAAACCCCTAAACCCCTAAATCCAAAACCCTAATCCACTAAAGCCCTAAACTCCTAAACCCTGAAAGGTTTTAAAAAGAAATCAACAAAGATCGGGGCTGAAGTCTGAAGCTTAGGGTTTAGGGTTTTGGGTTTTGGTTAAGGGTTTAGGGTTGAGGGTTTTGGTTTAGGGTTTAGGGTTTAGGGTTTAGGGTTTAGGGTTTAGGGTTTAGGGTTTTGGTTTGGGGTTTTGGTTTAGGGTTTTCAGTTTAGCGTGCGTAGGAACATCGGGGCCGACCTGGACCCAAGAAGCTTGCAGAAAAATAGCCCTTTATAGATGTTGGGCCATCATTTCACCTACTTCTGAGAAGGGTATCCAGCAAGTTCCAGGTTCTATAGGAAAAGCTCAGAGATTGTAGGAGGCTGGGTTTCGGGAAGGGTGACTATCATGGTGCGACAAATCCTGCACGCACAACACCCCTGATCCCAAGCTCGACTTAAACCACTAAAAGTGAGTAAAATAATGGCCCAGCATCTATAGAGGGCTAGTTTTCTACATACATTTGGGGTCCCAGGTGGGTTTAGCTTCTGCAAAGCGCAAGCTCTGGCAGGCTAGCTTCGAATCTGTCAGGACCCTGAAGCAAAAACCTCTACTGTAGGGCCCTTAATAATTAAAGTAGGGCTTTGGGGGCCCATTATACTATACTTATAATTTTAATAAGGAGCCCCCAAAACAGTATTGGTAATTATTCAGGCTATACTAAGGCCCTTATATCACCCCGAACTCACAGACCTAGGCTTGGCCCTAGATCCTGATGCCCCATAATGTAGGGGCCTTCATAATTAGAATAGGATTTTGGGGGGCTCCTTATTACAACTATAGTATGATATACCTCCAAACCCTATTCTAATTATAAAGGCACCTACATTACCCTAACCTTAGAGAGCCATCGAAGCTTCTGCGATGCCGGGAGGAAGTCGATGAACTCCCCATCGCTTCTTCAGCAAGGCCGCAGTTTGATAGGGATTCTGCCTGACATCAGCAATATTTTTGTGGTTTGGCTTTAGGGCTTGGGGTTTAGGGTTTAGGGTTTAGGGTGTGGCTTCGTGGCTCAAGGCCTTGGAGTGTTGCACTCCAACGCCCAGAACAGGGAACAGACTATGACGGGTTTAGGGTTTAGGGTTTCGGGTTTAGGGTTTAGGGCTTAGGGTTTAGGGTTTGACTATGACTCTACGTACCATGTCCATCAGAGTATCCCAATCGAGGCAGCAGCCAGGAATTGAGGCAGCTCTGCTAAGGTAGGGGCCTTAAGAATTAGACTAGGGTTTTGGGTTACACTATAGTATGGTTCTAATAAGGAACCCCCCCAAAAAAAAGCCCTATTCTAATATTCAGGCCCCTACATTAGGGGAACAAGTGGTTGCCTGGCTCAGGGCCGAACACCTACTTAGGAGCAGGAAATGTACGGTTCAATTTTTGTGGCTTAGGCACTCAGCCTTTTCATCGCACATAGCAACATTGATGACCTGATGATGACCAGAAAACATAATGCTAATAATATAAGCCCCCCCATACTCATAGAATCATATACTGCTAATCGCAAGACTAGTAGATCGCACATAGCAATATTGGTGACCAAAAAATGTTGGTAATGATGTAAGCCCACGGTACTCATAGAATCAAAAACAACTAAACCCTAAAGCCCTAAACCCTCAACCCTTAAGCAAGACTAACAGGGGCCGAGCTTCTTCTTCCGTTTCGGCTCTTTCTTCGGCCGAAGTGCCTGCGCTGATGCAGATGAGTTTGAGTTCTGGAGAATCCAAACGGGCCACCTAGGCTTTAAGGTTCAGGGTTTAAGGTCTTTTTTGTCACCTCTTTTCCACCTGCCTGGTTAAGTTAGGTCGAATGCCACGTTTGGCGGAGGCAGTTGCCTGCTGCATCGGCACACCCAACCTTCATACCCAGGGTTTAGGGTTTAGAGTTTAGGGTTCAGGGTAGCATTGGGATGTTGGAGCTTAAGAGGCTTAGGGTATAGGGGAAGAAGCAGCAGCAACAGCACATCACATGATAGCAGCATTGGCCATGCTATAGTTATGGCGAGGGCAGCACTCATCACACAAACGAGCCCTTTTCTTCCTCCTCCTCCTCCTCCTCCGCCTGCTCATCCTCCTCCACGCTATCACATTATTCGTTTTGTTCTTCACAGTTATCTGCATCATTGACAGCATCATCTTGCATCACGGCCGTCACCATCATCCCGTCAAGAGCAGCACCAACGACGTCAGCATCGGACCATCGGAGGCATGAGCACCACTAAGTCACTAAGGAAGAAGATCATCGCCACCATGTCCACATAATGTAGGGGCCTTGATAATTAGACTAGGGTGTCGGGGCCGAAATTTTTTATAATTGTAATAAGGAGCCCCTCAAAATAGTATTGGTAGTTAATTTAGGCTTCTATATCAACTACCAGAAATCTTCGGATCCAGAAACCCTGAGCCCATCTTAAGCGGCTTTGTTGGGACCTATTTGGGTCCCGCCGAAAGAGCAGGCGCGCCGAAGAGCTCAGGCAATCCAGGGCCTTGAAAGGTGGGATGAAAGTAGGAGTGTCGACAAGCCTTGGGGTCAAACGACCAAGCTACTGTTGATGGACAAAATCCTGCATGACTTTATATATACCTAAACTATGGGATTCATGGTACTATACTATATTTGGGTCATGCAGAATTTTGTCCATCAACCGTATGGAATGCTTGGGCCTTTTCGGGACCCTAAACCCTAAACCTTTCTACGAAGGCTATGACATGAGGACTCCTGCACCAGGGCCATCCAGAGTCGGCGTCGTCGGCCAGTGCGTTCCTTCCGCTCTTCTCGCTCCTGGGTGCGCTGGCGTGGTAATTTAGGTGCCTCAATAATTACGGTTTAGGGTGTATGGTTTAGGGTTTAGGGTTTAGGGTTTAGGGTAGGGTTTTGAGAGCCCTTTATACTATTCTTATAATAAGGAACCCCAAAGTAGTATCGGTAATTACTTAGGCCCCTATATTGCAGCTCCGAGTTCGTGGAACAAAAACAGGCAACTGGGGCCGCGGTACTCAGAAGAGACCAGAACTCTGTTTTAGTGATACTCGAAGTGGTAACGATTCGATTGCTTCGGGTCGTTTCAATCCTAAACCCTAAACCCTAAACCCTTCCCTTAGTAGGGTTTAGGGTTCCTTGACTTGAAGTCCCTACACCCTACCCTAAGCCCTCAACCCTCAACCCTTGAGGTCCAAAAAACCCTACACCGCACCCTCTTGCAAACGCGGGAAGCCTTATGTTCTGCCCTCCGAGCCCTGGAACTGTGCCTCCATTTCTTCCTATGCATGTAAAAGCCGTCACAGCTGTGGCAAGACTGATATTGAGATTCAGAGACAGATTCTGGAGTACACTATTGTGGGTACTCCTGTTGCAAGATCTATTTTCCGGCAGTGATCTTGACTGCGCTTCCTTCTAGATCTATCGATGTTGGGTCGCGCGCGTCACCAGCCACCCCAAAGCCATATACCTGAACCCCAAACTTCGGACCAGGCAAGACAAGCTTAGTATCTTGTTGGGACCGGTGTTCCGAAAACCTGATATTGGGGCCTAAAGTACAAAAAATACCAATGCTATGTTGGGTTCTTTACTATAACTATAGCATAATGGCCCCAGAACCATGCTTTAATTATAAAGGCGCTTATATTTAGCCCTCATGATCCCTAAAATCCTAAACCCCAAACCCGAAACAGCTCGCAGCTCTGGTTCTGCGACTGCTTCTGCGACCATGGCTGGCTTCGCCTTGCTCCAATCAGGGTTTAGGGTTTAGGGTTTAGAGTTTAGGGTTTAGGTTTAGAGCTTTAGAGTTTCGGGTTTAGGGTTTAGAGTTTAGGGTTTAGGGTTTAGGGTTTAGGGTTTAGGGTTTAGGGCTTAGGGTTTAGAGTTTAGGGTTTTGGTCCGAGGCTTTCGGGGATTGTTTCGGGCTTGGGGTGCGAGCTTTCCGGGTCTCAACGCTCTGGAAAAAAACGATTACGGTTTAGGGATTTAGGGATTTAGGGTTTAGGGTTTAGGGGTTTAGGGTTTAGGGTTTAGGTTTAGGGTTTTAGGATTAGGTTTAGGGTTTAGGGGCTTCTGAATGCCCCTCATTCCCAGCTTGCACCGTGCTCTGGGCGAAAGCGTTCTGGGGGGAACAAAAGCAAGTGTGCATAGAGCCTCAGTCTCAGAACCTCGCCTCACCCAGCACGCTGCGTCCCCTCCGCCCTGACATAGTCTCGACCGAGATACGAAATCAAATTCCAACCTCTACGCCGCCATACCTGAGCACGCGTACAGAGAGTCTAGCAATCCGTTTCAACCCAACCAATGTACACGTGCTACATCTCGACTCTTAAACGAAAATCCCACGATGTCCACCTCAGCTTCTCAACCTGAACCCTCTAAACTCGCACAAAAAATTGACAAGCTAAAACTCTGAACCCCTAAACCCCTAAAACCCCCAAACCCTAAACCCTAAACCCTAAAACCCTAAAGCCCTAAACCCTAAAACCCTAAACCCTAAACCCCTAAAACTTTTAAACTCTTAACCGTCGGCCTCGTTCCACCCACGGATTCGCGCGGCGGGGTCCTGGGCCCTTAGGCCATTTGCAATACTCCAGAACCTCAGCTTTTTTTCGGTCTTTGGGCTCCAAAGGGCTTGGAGGTTTAAGGGTTTAGGGTTTTAGGGTTTAGAGTTTAAGGGTCTGGGGTTTTAGGGTTTAGGGTTCCGGGGTTCCGGGTTTTAGGGTTTTAGGGCTTAGGGTTTAGGGTTTAGGGTTCCGGGGTTTAGGGTTTTAGGGCTTAGGGTTTCAGGTTTTCAGATTTCAAGACTCCCACATGCAGTCGCTCAACTTGAACCCTGGATCCAACCTGGAATCCTGCGCTGGAAACCTTCAACTTCAAGTCAGGTGCACAAGCCCTAGCTAGGGTTTAGGGTTTAGGGTTTAGGGTTTAGGGGCCCTGGCTGTGTAGCTTCTTCTGAGCTGGAACTTATCGATTGCAGTTCTTCGAACCGTTGAGCGGACACCAAATATTGAGCGTCAACCATGTACCCGAAGTCAACAGTAAGTGCGCTCTAAGATCATAAAGTTTAAAGGCACAAAGTTTGCTTCTGTCTGCAGCTCAAAGTATACTAGAACCGAGCTAGTCCGGATTGCCTCCACACCCCTCGATAGGATTGCAGGGCGGGGTGCCACACGCTCTGAGGATAAGGGATAGGAGAAACCGCAAGCCGTCTGTAGGATGGTCTTCCCTAAACCTTTAACCTTATAAACTGTTTTGAGCTTAGGGCCTAGGGCCTTAGGATTAGAATCCTCGGCCCCAAGACACAGAAATCCGTAAGCCCTAAACTCCTGAACCCCTCAACCCTAAACCCCCAAATCCTCAACACCCATAAACGCCCAACCCTAAACCTAAAAACCTAAACCGCCATAAACCCCAAGCTTTTGCCACTACACTACTTAGTGACTTGACCGAACCTCAGACTTTGGTCGATTGTGGAGGGATTTGTTGGTTGGAGAAAAAATCTTCAAACAAGAAGGATTTTAGGGTCTGGGGTTTAGGGTCTAGGTTTAGGAAGGCTCTTTAATCTTGATGAATTTTTAACTCAGTAGAGTGATCGAGGCTTGATTATTGGTGTCGAGCTTTGGAGGATCCCCAAACCTCCCTACACCCCTTAGACATCCCTCAACACTCAGACTTTACCAGTACGACTACTACTATACTACTCTTCTACATCTGTAAAGCCTGAAGTTCCCTAAACCCTAAACCCTAAACCCTAAACCCCAAAAAGCCAAAAGTTCCGAACAGCCACTTCCTCTAGGCGCCGCACCGAAGAGCCGTCGCAAGAACTCTCGAGCTCGGCGTTACGAGGTTTTTTGTCCTCAGCAGATGTTTTTTGGAGTTTAAGTCTATAGGGTTTAAGGTTCTAGGGTTTCGGGTTTAAGGTTCTCGGGTTTAGGGTTTAAGGCTATAGGGTTTAAGGTTCTAGGGTTTAGGGTTTAGGGTTTAAGGTTTAGGGTTGAAGGTTTAGGGCGAACGCCATGGGGTGAACCCCGAAGGGTCTGACTACCAAACTAAAGTAAATACCGTGGCCTGCAAGTATGTACTGTATTGATACAAGCCACTTTGAGAGGTTTAGGCGTTGCAAAGCAGAGGTTTTTGGCATAGGGTGCAATCCACTGACCCCTTATCCCCAAGACTTAAAGGGTGTAGCTGGCCTTATCTTCTTGCATAACGCGGAGGCAGTGTCCCTTTGACAGTTCTTGTATAAGTATACTTCGATATCGCCCAAGCCCTATTCAAAGAATTCCAAGGCTCCAAAAGTAGAGTTAAGGCACCTGCAGTTCAGACTTCAGCCTTTGTGGTCGGCACGTAGGGTTTAGGGTTTAGGCCCTTAAGGTGGGTAATGGTTGCAGCTTCATTTGGGGGTGCAGGCTTCTGACAGTGAGGGACTTCTCCGGTGGAAGATTCTGACTCCAGGACATTGAAAGAACATATACATATATATATATATGTATATATATATATGTATATTGTATATATATATATATATTATATTATATTATATTATATATATATATATATTGATATGGCGGGTGTTTCAATTCGAAAGGGTTTACGGCCTAGGGTTCTTCTACATCACTGAAAGGGTTCAGGTTTCAGGGTTTAGGAACTGAGTCAGCGCCAACCTCGATTGACCCAACAAGCTGTCGCAATTGCTTCGAAAACTCCGAGTGCTGAGCACCGAGTAGTAGTACAAAGGCAGCGCCAACAACCTCTAGCATGGGACCCGCTGTTGGGGTTTAGGGTTTAGGGCTTAGGGTCTGACTCGTTAGGGCTCGAACTCATCTTCAATTCTGTGTGGCAAAGCAGGAATACCGAAACCTCTTGCAAACCGAGCCCAAACCCTAACAAGTTACAAGCACCCGTAAACAGGAATCCCTTCCACAAACGGTCCTGAGTAGTGTCTCTATGGTAGGAATTACAAGTATGCCTTCCGTAAATCTCCCCCAAACCCTATTATAAGCCCTAAACCCTAAAACCTGAACCCTAAACCCCTAAACTAGGGATGTCGGTCCCTTTCGGTTCCATCTTTGCCTACTTTTTGGGGGTGGGGGGGGGTTCGGGATGACTCCTGCTCCCGGGTTTCCTCCTCCCTCTTTGAAAAATGGTTTTGGTGTTTGTTTCTTGTAGAGTTTAGGGCTTTGGGGCTTTATCTGTGAGAGTTTAAGGTTTTTGGGTTTGGTTTCGGGTTTTGGAGTGGCGTTTAGGAGCATTGCGGACTTGAAGCTGTTTCCTTATTACTACTGCCCCTGGCTTCAAGCCCCAGGGACCTGAAACCGGAAAAGGACTTGTTCCTTGTTGGGGCTACAGGCAGGTGGCGAAACATGCTAAAGAAATGGGATTTTCCGAAATTGGGGTACCTTATTTTAAGGTCCTGATAATAAGGATCCTATTATTTGGGGTACTATATTAGCGTCCCCTATTTTCCAAAACCCCCAAATGCTTCCGGTCTTGAGACCTTCCATGACTCCCCTGGCAGATTGTAATCTTTCAAGCCTGTCCCTCAAGTTATGCTGGCATACGTGGGCCGCCCGCCTACTGTGCAAACGGCGTGAGCTTTGCTGTGGGATGCTGCTCTGCCTACCCAAGACGTGGAAACAATGACGACCTCCTGATGCTGACAACCCCCAAGGCTCCATGTACCCATAACAGTCCCAAAGGGCGCAAAGCACCTATATTGCACAATGCGGCCTTTCTATACTGGGACTTTTACCATGAATTGGGAAAGTATCCCCCACAACAGTACCCAGGACCCTGTGGGAGCATGTGCTTAGGCCTTATCATAAAGTGCATCTATAGGAACCCCTTTTAGGGCTCGAATGTATACTCTCTATGAGCACATGGAGCCTTACCCATAGCATCAAAATAGCCCAAAAGCCTCATATAATGGGGTCTTTGGGCCCAAAAGCCTTAAAAAGATGAGTTCTTAGAGGGTAATGGGTTTGGGAACACTGCCTTAGGGAACCCCTGAACCCTAAACCCTAAAACCCTAAAACCCTAAACCCTGAACCCTAAACCCTAAACCCCTAAAACCCTAAAACCCTAAAGCCCTAAACCCAAAACCGAACACTGCGAATCGGGTAACCCGCTCTGGATCCGCTCTTCGTCGACTCGGTGGACGGCAGAGGTCAAGGCATCCGGAAAAGAGCAGCCAGCCTGCTGTGGCGCAGTGCTTATGGTTTAGGGTTTAGGGTTTAGGGTTTAGGGTTAGGCTTTACTTCGGTAGCGTTTAGGGCTTAGGGTTGCGGGTTTAGGGGATTTAGGGCTTGGGCTCCAGGATTTAAGGTTTCAGGCTTAGAATTTAGGGCTCAGGGTTTAGAGCCTCTAAGCTTTACTTCAATAGAGTTTACCCATAGGCCCCATACTAGTTCCTTTTTGGGATTACCTAATAGGATCCTACATATCAGCCGCAAAAAGGAACTACTTTGGGGCCTATGGGTAGGGTTTAGGGTTGAGGGTTTAAAGGGATTTAGGGCTCAGGCTTTAGGATTTAGGGTTTCGGGCTTAGGATTTAGTTCTCCGGGTTTAGGATTTAGGGTTTAGGGGTACTATCAGCTCATGACCTTCCATCCCAATATGTTATAAGAACAAATAGACATAAAGTAATACCCTAAACCCTAAACCCTAAACCCTAAACCCTAAGTAATGAAACGCCCTAAATCGAAAGATGAGATACGGGGCTCTGGCAGATGCAGACCCCGTGAAAGAGAGGTGGGTTTTGTTGATCAGGGGTCTACATTACCAACACCGTCCTTGAACATTTTCGTCAAAGCCTTGGTCTAGTTTAGGAGGCCTAAACCCTAAACCCTAAACCCTAAACCCTAAACCTGCATGCCAATGAACCCGAAACCCTAAACTCGAACCCAGAAGCTCTGAACCCTGCACCCCAAACCCTAAGCCGCCTCCGAAACCCCAAGCCCCGAACCCTAAGCGTAAAGCCCCAAAAAGAGCTCGAGCCTCGGTTTGCTCGTAGACACACTGCCGAATCTGTGTGAACCTCCGGTCAGAAGTGTCTTCCTTCTAGGGTTCATTTAAAGGGCTTAGGGTTTAGGGGGGACCCCATGATAGAACCCTATAGTGCTCTTTGAAGGGGACTCTGTTGTAGAACCCTCTGGTGCCCTTTAAAGGGGATCCTACTATATAGAACCCTACAGTACCCTTTAAGGGGCCCAGAAGCGTTGCTAATAAGTTACTAACTATCTGGGTTCTGTAATGGGTTTTAGGCTTTAGGGGTTTAGGCTTTCGGGGCTTCGGGCTTTGGCTTTAATCACTGGGTTCAGGGGCTGAAGCGCCCGAACCCCATAATGTAGGTGCCTGAATCATTAGAAAAAGTTTTTTTTTTTTGGGGGGGGGGGGGGGGGGGGCTTTGGGGTTTCTGCCCAAGGCCCAGACCCGTATATTTGGATTCAGGGTTCGAGGGCTTTGGGTTCGCTTGGCCTTGGGACTTCAGTGTTCAGAAAACTTTACCCCAACGGCAGATGCGAGTTTTGAAAACTACCTGTAATGTAGGGGCCGGGAAAAAACGGTTGCCAATACTATTTTGGGGCCTCCTTATTAAAACTGTAGTATAATATACCCCAATACCCTATTCTAATCATCAAGGCCCCTACAGTAGCAAAACCCTTACCATCTAAGGGATTAGTAAAGAGCCCATAATGCGGAACCTGATGTTGTATTGGGCTACATGTAGGGCTATGTCTCTTTGGAGTGGGTCCGTGGATGGTAGATCCGAGCATATTGAGGGGTGTGTATTCTGTTTAGGGTTTTGGAGTGTCCTTTACCAACCTAACAAAACCTCCGGTGGCATCCGATACCGTCCCCACGAAGCCTTACCCTTAACCCTAAACATTTAGGACCCTTTTTTTTTCCGGGTGCCGTACTATCTTGGGGATCTAGACGGGGACCGCAATTTAGAGAACTATCCATATCCATAAGTTCAAGAGAAGAACCGACCCAACGCCGTTTTCCTCGCGAAGGAGTGCTGCGAGGCCGTCCCGGAGGAGGCGGCTCAGTGAGGCGTCGAAAGCTCCGGGTGCAGGGGCCTCTTTTGGTTTTTAGAGTTTTTGGGGTTGAGGGCTTAGGTGGGGTCTTGAAATCGGAGCTTGTAATCGAGTCTATAATGCGCCTGTCGTTTCTTTCGGGAGTATTCGGATCGTTCTTAACATTAGGGTTTCGAATTTTGCGGTTTCATGTGGCCTAATCACGCCCTCGCAGTAAGGTTGCACAATGAAAGCTCGTGTTTGTGTGTTTCACGTGTGTCCATTCGGTTAGTCTAGACAGGATTCTGCTGGTTTTATTTCTTGTCTGTGGCACTCCTAAAGTAACCCTTATGACAGCGACCAAAAACCGGAACCCCAAACCCTAAACCCTAAACCCTAAACCCTAAACCCTAAACCCTAAACCAGAACCCCAAACCGGAAACCATTGGCGCCTCCGAACCCTGCAGGCCCTGTAGAGAACCCCAGAGATCCCCCAAAGCCTTGCCCCCAAAAGCGCGAGACCCAACAGCCCGAAAGCCCTTTTGCGAAGTTTCGTAATGACATGCAAGGTTATGAGAAGTTATATATACATATATATATATATATATATATGTATATACATACACATATATATATATATATGTACCTGAGTTGCTGAAAATAAGCAGCTGTAGCAGTACTTACTCTGCCAATGCTGATGACCCTACGAAACTTGTCCGCGCCCCGTGATGGGGTTTCGTCCCGGTTCAGGTCCCCTGCGCCTGCCTAAAATTCCATCACGCAAAAACGGACAAGGATTTAGTGCTCAGAGCTTAACCCCAAATCCGAATCTTCTGCCTCAGAAGCTTAAATTAGTACAATATTTAGTCGTATGCTTGCTTCGGTCCGGTTTGTCGGTCCTGCGTTTTGGAGACTAGTCTGTGGGTTTTACAAGCCTGCGGGGGGACCTTGTAAAAGGCTCGTGGAAGCCTAAACCCTAAACCAATATTGAAAACTCGAAACCCCGAGATTAGATGCCTGCATAAACCGCTCGAAAGCCCTCTACAGTTTGTCAAGATAGGTGCCCTAGTGATGAGAATGGAGTTTTGTGGTATATTATAGGATAGTCATATGGGCCATGTAGGGGGTGATACTCTTGCTCGTTATTCAGGCCGCTCTCGTCCACCTTTAGCCTCCCTTCAACCCCACCATCTGGAGCCCAAAACCCAAAGGCTCACCCTATAAGAAGCGCAGCCTAAGCCATCGTGACTTCGTTGAGGCTGTAGGGCTCGATGGACAGGATCCAGCTGCAGCTTAACCCTAAACCCAAAAGCGTAAACCCTAAACCCTAAGTTGTAAAGCCTAAACCCTAAACCCTATGTCGTAAGCCCTAAATTCTAAATCTTATAAACCCTAACCCCGAAATCGTAAACCCTAAACCCTAAATCGTAAACCCTAAGCCCTAAATCGTAAACCCTAAACCTTAAAGGGACCTTGAACCACTGAACCAGGGCCCCAGTTCCTCACTGTGGATCCTGCCTATCCCTAATTCCTTGCATGCCGCAACCCCAAAGTCCATGCACTCGGTTTAGGGTTGAGGCTTTAGGGTTTTGGGTTTTTATTTTCATGGCCGCATGGTGGCCCATATACCTGAACTGAACCACAAACCCCTAAACAAAGTAAACCGACTGTCTTGTTGCCTTTGGAAACCCTAAACCCAGTATCCCGAAAGCCTAAGCCGAACATCTAAACCCTACACTCCTAAAAGAACCTTAAACCCTAAAACCCTAAAGCCCTAAACCTAATACCTTCCTAAACCCTATATACACCCCTAAAAACGCCCTAAACCCTCCAGCCCTAAAGCCCTAAACCCTACAACCAAAAAGCCGTAAGCCTAATAGCTCAAACCCGGAGGGCGATCGTGATGGTCGGTGACACGAAGACAGCGCGACGTCTGAAGCGAACGCTTTCGGCGAAAAAAACTGTGCACGCACTTGTTCTCCTAAGGGTTTAGGAATATAGGAGTCTACGTCTTTCTTCGGGTTCAGGGTTTAGGGGTTTAGGGTTTAAGGGGTTTGGGGTTTAGGGTTTAGGCTCTACTGCGGCTTCTAGAAGGGTTCCGTTAGTCCGGCTTTGCTCCGTGGCTTCTCGGGCTGCGTAGTGTCTTATGTATGAGGATCCCCTTCAGACTTTCGGACTAAGGGTTGAGGTTTTCCGGGGTCTTTTGTGAGGATCCCGTCTGTTTAGGGTTTAGGGGTTTTGGGATGGTTTTGGGCGTGGAGGTTTAGTGGTTAGAGTCTATAGTTTCGGATTCTTTTGCAGAGGGCGTGTCTGGTGTTGTCTATAAGGCTATCCATGGGTTCTCTAAGGCATCTACCAAGGGTCGAGGGTCTTCTGGGTTAAGGCTTCGAGGTTAAGGGTGCAGAGATTCTGACGCAAAGTGTCTGAGGTTAGACCAAGTATCCTTCATTTATCCGTGTTAACTTGTCGGTGCATACGAGATCCTGCCCTTTTAAGGCTAAGTTCGTCTCGGCCAAAGAGCCCAAGCAGCAGGTTGCTCGTATTCAAAGCCAAACAGCCTACGTGGGAGGCCTGCATCGTAAAGCCCAGAGGGGATCCAAAATTACTGGGAGGGTGTCACCTGTCTAAAAACACTTGAACCCTAAACTCCTAAACCCTAAAAGAAATCTAAACCTAAACCTTAAACTCCTAAACGCTAAAAAAGCCCTAAAACCTAAACTCCACTCAACCTACGAAGCCCGAAGCCCTCAACGCATACACGCTGAACCCCGAATCCTTGAAGCTTTCCACCAGCACCGCTATTTCCCGGAGCAGGCGGAGTTGATCAATAGTTTAGTTTTGCAAAGCATACCTATAGTCTCCAGTGTAGTTCCTTTTTGGGGTATACCTTATAAATTCCTGAATATATAATGGTTAAACCAAAAAAAGGAACTACAATGGAGACTATAGGTATCAACAAACAGCTCTAGTCAGCTGCGGCTCCCAGATGCTGCCAGAGCCGCCCCAAAGCCTGAACCTTCAATAACGCCGGAAGCGCAGCCAGGTGGCCCGAAGTGATGAGAATTCATGAGCCGTCCGCCTGATTGACGTTCCTTGAGCTCCGAGGGCCCTGCTGGGCCTTTGCCGGGCTTCGACTGGCCAAATGTTGTTTCGTAACTGATCTCTTGCCATGGTTCT